GGGCTAGCTGAGAGAATGAACAGAACAATTCAAGAAAGAGTTCGTTGCATTCTCTCTCAGGCTAAGTTACCCAAGTCCTTTTGGGGAGAAGCTATAATTGTAACACTTGAAATTTAATTTAAATGAATTAATAGTACTACTAATACCAATAAGGTGCATCTCCTTTTAAGGGAGCTCATTAGCCAAGAACTCCAAAGTTAAGCGTGCTTGCACGAGAGTAGTCTTGGGATGGGTGACCCCATGAGAAGTTTCTCAGGGCGCGCATGAGTGAGGACAAAGTGCGTGAAAAAGGCTAGTGGCGATTTGTGAGGACAGTACTAGAGGTCAGAAGTAACTACCTCGGGGCCTGCGAGGCCGGGGTGTTACAGGTGGTATCAGAGCAACCCTACGACAGTGTGTTGACCCGTTGGATATTGGGCGGGCACTTAGCGAGGCAAGATTCTGGGGTTTGATTGAGATTGGTTTACGGGCGCAACGAGGACGTTGCGTTCCTAAGTGGGGGTGATTGTAACACTTGGAATTTAATTTAAATGAATTAATAGTACTACTCATACCAACAAGGTGCATATCCTTTTAAAGGAGCTCATTAGCCAAGAACTCCAAAGTTAAGTGTGCTTGCACGGGAGTAGTCTTGGGATGGGTGACCCCCTGGGGAGTTTCTCACGGCGCGCATGAGTGAGGACAAAGTGCGTGGAAAAGGCTAGTGGCGGTTTGTGAGGACAGTACTAAAGGTCAGAAGTAATTACCTCGGGGCCTGCGGGGCCGGGGTGTTACAATAATGGCCGCAGTTGACATTGTCAACCTCACACCATCAGTTCCTTTTAACGGCGCCATCCCAGAGGAAGTCTGGACGGGCAAAAGAGCTTCATACAATCATCTCAAAGTGTTTGGGTGCAGAGCATTTGTTCACATCCCCAAAGACGGAGGAGTGTATATACCTTCGCTCACCCAAGGATGAATTCGGCTACCGGCTATGGGATCCAATCCATAAGAAGGTTGTCTGTAGCAGAGATGTGGTATTCTTCGAAGACCAAACTATTGAAGATATTAAAAACTCGGAGAAGCCAAGATTGAGAAGCAGCAAGAGTACCAAACTTACTACAGCTCGACGTGAGGATGACACACATCTAGATAATGATGATGAAAACCATGAGACTCATGATGAATCAAATCAGGAAGATCCTCAATCTAGTTCTCTGCCAGCACCAGAGACGAGGCGATCCTCAAGGGAGAGAAGACCATCCACTCGGTATAACACCGAGGAATACGTGATGCTCACGAATGAGGGGGGAGCCACAAAGCTATAAAGAAGCAATCAATGATATTCATAAAGAAGAGTGGAGTAAAGCCATGCAAGAAGAGATGCAATCCTTTCATGATGATAACCACACTTATGACCTTGTGGATCTACCAAAAGGGAGAAGAGCCTTGAAGAATAAATGGGTGTATCGAATCAAGACCGAAGACAACAGCTCAAAGCCTCGTTACAAAGCTTGATTGGTCGTCAAAGGATTCAGTCAAGAAAAAGGCATCAACTTTGAGGAAATATTCTCTCCCGTGGTAAAGATGTCATCCATCCGAGTTGTCCTTGGCCTAAAAGCGGTGCAAGATTTGGAGATTGAACAACTCGATGTCAAGACAGTGTTCCTTCACGGCGACCTTAAGGAAGAGTTCTACATGGAGCAGCCCAAGGGGTTCAAAGTTACGGGTAAGGAAAACCTAGTATGTCGCCTCACGAAGAGTTTATATGGCCTTAAGCAAGCACCTAGGCAGTGGTACAAGAAGTTTGAGTCCTTCATGGCAGAGCAGGATTTTACAAAGACGAAAAGCGATCATTAATTGTGTCTTCATAAAGAGGTATGCAAGTGTTGACTTTCTCATACTTCCACTATATATTGATGATATGTTGATCGTTGGACAAGATCGCGTAAAGATAGATGCTTTGAAAAAGGATCTAAGCAAGAGTTTCGCCATGAAATATTTGGGACCGGCTAAACAAATCCTTGGGATGAGAATAACTCGTGATAGATCAAAGAGACTGTTGTGGCTATCCCAAGAGAGGTACATTGAGAAAGTGTCGGAACGGTTCAACATGAACAAATCAAAGCCGGTAAACACACCACTTGCTGGACACTTTAGGTTGAGTTCGAAGCAAAGTCCCACAAGTGAGAAAGAAAAGGAGGAAATGAAGAAGATTTCATACTCATCTGTAGTAGGCAGTCTCATGTATGCTATGATATGCACAAGACCAAATATCGCCTATGCAGTTGGAGTCGTTAATCGTTTCTTGGCCAACCCAGGGAGTGAACATTGGGTAGCGGTCAAATGGATCCTTCGGTATTTACGTGGAACTTCCAAAAGATGTTTATTCTTTGGAAAAGGAAAACCTATGTTAGAAGGATACACAGATGCAGACATGGCCGGTGATATTGATTCAAGAAAATCAACATTGGGATACCTAACTACTTTTGCAGGGAGCCGTGTCTTGGCAATCATAGCTGCAAAAGTGTGTTGCATTATCCACCACAGAGGCGGAGTACATCGCAACGACTGAAGCTTGCAAGGAGATGTTGTGGATGAAGATGATGTTGCTCAAGCTGGGACAAGATCAACAAAGGTACGTGTTGAAGTGCAACAATCAAAGTGTGATTTACTTGGCAAAGAACTCAACATTTCATTCCCGCACGAAGCACATAGACACCAGGTATCATTGGATCCGAGAAGTTCTCGAGGAAAAGAAATTGCATCTTGACAAGGTCCACACAGACGAGAACTGGTCAGACATGATGACCAAGGTAATACCGACAAAGAAGTTCGAAGATTGCTGTCAAGGAGCAGGTTTGCTACACCCCCCCAATTAAGTCGGGAGGGGGAGATTTGTTGGGATCCCTCCTTAATTGGAGAGATTCTAGAAAATTCTAGAGCTTTCTAGAGAATTATAGAATTTTCTAGAACGTTGCGGAAAATCCTAGAGAAGTCTGGAACTCTCTAGAAGCTTGCAGAAAGTGTGGAATCCTCTGGAATATTCTAGAGATGTGTGGAACCTTCCGGAATTTTATGGAAGAATATGTAAGCATATGGAAAGGAATGGAGAGGTGTAGAGATTCCTTAGAGTTCTCTAGAATATATAGGCATGTGTAGAGCATTCTAGAGAACTACTCTCCACCATTCATTATGGAGGTGGAGTAGTATAAATAGGAGCAAGAGCCTCCATTCCTAATAATCCTAGCCAAGAGTGAATCCCCTTCTTAGAGTGAGAAAGTTAGAGAGCCTCTTTGAGAGAGAAGAGAGATAGCCAGACCCGGGCATGGGGGGTAGGCACCTAGGCAATGGCCTAGGGCACCACATCCAAGGGAGGCCTCATTGTTTAATAAAAACTGCTCCGTATTACTATTGCTAGCGAAAGACGTGTGAAGTTGTGGTGTGAATCTCTCCTTGCTTGATTTCGATAGTACGAATTATATAAGATGGTTGAAATTGGTGTTTGTGACAAGATGGGAACCTGGCTACCTGGTCGGCTGAGCCAATAGGATTATTGGAATTAGGAAATTAGAATTTAGTAATAGTCTACCTTAATACCCTAGTTAGCCTAGTACATACTAAGTTAATAAAAAATGAGAGAATTCCCAAAAATAAGACTAAAAGAAGGTGACATTGCAAAAACAAGACATATCGTTTAATTATAAAGCTTGATGCTCATTATGGAATTTAGTCCATATTTTATTCTCATTTTGAACAATTTCTTATTAAAAAAATAGTATACGGAGGCAAAACTGAAAAGAACTTCGAGAGTACTAGTGTACTACTCATTCTGTCTCATACCATATTTGGTAATATTTGTATGACTCTAATTCAATCTTACTTTATTCTCACTTTATCGACTCATTATCAACCACATAATTCCACTTTTCTTAAAAACTATATCACTCCTTTCCGTCCCAATATTAGAGGGACAGAGGTAGTACTATATTAGTAATTGAAATTTGTATTAAACTTGAAACTTTGTGTTATATACTCGCTCTGGTTCCAAAAGATCTTGACACTTTGACTTCACAGTTTTTGAGGAAATAAACACTGTTTGGCACTGTTTGGCACTGTTTGGCACTGTTTTATGTAGATTTATTTGCCAAATAAGGCAAATAAAGAAGTGTAAAGATCTTTCTGGTACTGCTAAAAATGGAAAGTGTAAAGATCTTTCAGAACTGGATGAAGTATTTTTTAATTTTCTTGCGGTTATTCGTTTATCAAATTTAATGCCTACTACAGAGAAACAAAAACAAGAATCAGGGGCTTTATAGAAAAAAATTAAGAAAAGAAAAGATTAAGTAATCCAATCTTTTATAAGAAACAAGAGCAAAAGGCTATAAAGAGAAAAATTAAAAAGGCAAAATTCATAAAAATAATCCCTACTTTTAGGGATTCTACAATATAATCCTTACTGAGAGTGTCTATAAAAACAATCCGACCTAGCAATAGTGTCCACAAGGATAAATTGGGGTGAATTCAAATTAATGCCCGTTTAATACTATCAATACCTACTCTCACTTTTGACTTCTTCGCTCTTCTTATCGAAGTGAATTAAAAATAAAACTCGTTAATCTTTATCCCATGAGTCATTTTTTGTCTGGGACATCAAAACCGCTGGAGACGGCCCTCGAGATAGCTTGGGAAGTTCCTATCCTCAAGTTTGAGTGAGCCACCATTGAGTGAGACAATTTTGTAACATACTTGTAAATCCTACTGTTCTTTTGTATAGTGGAAGAATCTCCATATTGGAGAATTTAAATCGTGTGCTCCCATTGTTACCTTAATTCCTAAGTGCCTATATTACCCTAAGCATAGTCGTGATAGAGATTCTGAGTGCATGATGACCGTACCCCATTTTTCTTTTGTAGATTTTGTTATGGGTCCAGCCCATATTTGCAATATTTTACATTGTTTTTGTTGTATATGTTTGAGCCTTATTTGATGGATTTTTATGTCCTATTCTTTGGGTCCATTTGATATTGAGCTTTGGGCTTCTATGACAAGTTTTTTGGAGTTTCTTTTGCTGTGAAATATCAGCTTGGGAAGGCTTTTGCAGATGGATGGACGCACATATGAAAAAGAGAAAGTTTTGACAGCATTCCCGATTTTCTGCCTACACTGCACAACTTCATTCAGGTCGTCGATCGGAGCTGTTCCCGTAGTCGGATTTTGCTGAAATTTGGACAGCTTGTTCGTGACTGCAAGGGCATCATTTTGAACGGTCGGATTGTTCAGTTGAGGTCTGGTATGTTGAGAAACGCTGCGCGAACAGACCTGCAGTTTTGGGTGATTTCTACACCTTATTGTGCTATTTTGATCTCTTATTGTTCTTGGTGATTATTGGTGGGCTGTGAATCCTTTTTAGACTGATTTGAGATTCTTTTACCCTTATTTATCAATAAGAGAATTAAGGGTGGACTCCTCAAGAGGTCCTGTGGTTTTTTATCCTTCACGTTGAAGGGTTTTCCAAGTAAAAAATCGTGTGTGCTCGTTGTGCTTAATTTGCGCTCGTTATTGTGCTTTATATTCTGCAATAGTGCTGATTTTGTGTCGTAATTTGGTTGTGTGACAATTTGAGTTGATTGCGTTCCTTATTTAGTTGATTGTCTTGAGGTTGTGACATTGTGGGTGTCATTCCTACAATGTCATTCCTGCAGTTTTTTGGAAATTGTATAAATTGAACGCTTGATTCTATTTAAGAAATAAGAATAGAATCACTTATCTAAATAACGTTGTAAAATGGAACCTTTTTAGTGATGCGCTGTTTTGAGACTAAGTTAAGGGGAAGTAGTTTGTTCAGTTTGACCAGATATTGTTGGTCTAACCAAGTCAACTTAAGTGTTGAATTTAAGAATGGTTGTGAACCACAAATTCTTTACCAAAAAATGATAGCGAATTTTTTCGGGACTTCCAAAAAGAAAAGTTAGAAATATTTTTAGAGACGGAGTGAGTATTTAAATTAAGCGAAACATGTCCGCAAATGGTATGTGACTAACTTCCTCAAGTTTAAAAACATTCACGGACAAAAAGAATAAAGAACTTATCTGAATTTTTTGTGACAACTGGACTCTGTGACATAATATTTTGTAAATAAAAAATAAAAATGACATTAATAAATCAACAAAGACACTAAAACCTACGAAAATACATTTGTGGAAAAGTCTGATAAACTGAAATAAAGTTACACAACATGTTCATTATTAAATAACATTATTGGGATTGAATTTATTAGTGAGACACGAGTATTTTATACGGAGTATATAAATAATATTACTTCCTATGTCCCTATTTAAACTTTCAGTTTTGAATGGCTGCATTTTTTAGAAAACAATTTTTTGTTTTGCTTTTACGCTAAAAGGCTCATTTTAATGATGGTAAACTTTAGAGTAGAATATATTGTTTTGACAATGTTGACACTTTTTGACATTGCTTGTCACATTCCTACCATTGTTAATTAAGGATAGTAGATTAAATTGGTAGGAATCTCTTTATCGAAAAAGGAAAGAAGACTTTGTTTAGGAACGTCAAAAGTGAAGTTTTTATTTAAGGATGGAAGGAGTATATTAAAATTTTCTCACTTTTCTTTTTGAATATCCCTTAATAAAATTCGCTTTTCATATTTGGCAAATAAACTTTTATCAATTTAGTCTACTACCCTTGGTCATTAATAACTGCACAGTGACAAAGAGAGTTAAATAGTGACAAAAAATGTATTTTATAGTAATTTTTATCCTCACTAAAAAGGGTGTTTCAGGAAGTCAAATGGGAAGAAATCCCTTAAAATGCATTAAAATGAAAGAGGGAAACTTAAATAGGGTGGAGAAGCTGAGTAATGCTTTCAAGAATGTTTTACATATCAAAGCCCGTTTGCTAGCATATTTATTTTCCTAATCAAAATTTTAATCATTTTTTCACCATATACTAAATTTTACTACCTCCGTCCCTTAAAACTTTGTCAAAATTGATCGCCACGAAGAATAATAAGGTAAAAACTGTGTAGTTGAAGTTTATGCAAAGAAGAGATAAATAAAGAAATCACAAAATAATTGATTAAAACGGAAAAGTGGCAAAATTTTAAGGGAGAGTAACTATGGTAGGAAGTATATTTGTTGGAAGTAAGTGAAAACGTTTTTAAAGAGGACGAAGGTATAAAAAGTAACACGCGGGATTCGAACATGGGTGGGTAGACAACGAAAATAGAAACGCTGGGTGGTCTCCCACTACCACCAAACCATCTGAACTTTTGTTACCTTTGGAGAACTTTTGTGATTAGTATTAAAACCATCGAAAGAATAATTATTATGACAATTATTACTTAATAAAAATTTCAGTTTGTTTGGTTTGAACCGATTTCTTTCTTTCAAAAACCGTTTATAAGCCGTTAATCTTCGGGTCCCGAAAATTTCGGTTCGATTTCAATTCGGTTTTTTTCACGCCCGGTTCGATTTTTTTTGTTCGGTTTTCAGTTTTTCGGTTCAAAATGCAAGCCTAATAAAAGACGACAATCATATTTTGGAATTTCAAAACATTTTTACTCTTATTTAATTTTTTTTTCCTCAAAAATAAATCATTAAATTTTGTACTATAAATTAGAATTCATAAATTATTGGTGGCACGCATATTGCACGGATTTCATAATTTAAAAAACATTGTGAAACTTTACATATTAATGTAACTATTAGATACACTAATGACAAAATCTACACAGAAGAAAGTGTCTACACTCCCGTTGAACTTGAGAGTCAGACAACCGTACATACTTAAAAGTTACGGTATACCCACTCACAATCCATAGCGGCATTCGGCACCAGACACCTTCTAGATCCCTGCCGAACCATCTCTCTGGGGACGCCGTCGTAACACTCCTTACGTCGGGGTCTCCGCTACCACCGCCGCCGCGGACTACGAGTCGACAACTTGGATTTCCAAATCTTCGATCGAATTGAGAATGGAGCGCGGTTGCAAGGTCTCTCTTTATGTCGCCGTCATCATATCGGCCATCGTTTTCACTTACTGGTCGACGGTGTTCGTATTCATAGACCGGTGGTTCGGCCTCGGCTCCTCACCGGGAATGCTGAACGCTTTTGCATTCACCGTCATTGCGATTCTCTGCACCTCCAACTATGGCCTTGCCATATATACTGATCCGGGTCGGGTCCCTGCTTCCTACTTGCCTGACATTGAAGGCCCTGATAACGCAATTCAAGAGATCAAGCGCAAGGTATCTATCTATCTCTTCCTCTATGCTAAATCCTAGTTAGTCCTTGCATTTCATTGATTATGTGTTTTCTGTTTAATTTATGCTTGTGTATAAAGATTATGTTTGTATGAGCTAGAAATGAATGATTGAAGGACATAAAGAATTGCTAGATAAATATCTATTTCGTTGAGGGATAGTTAGTTAAACTAATGTGCTTATTACCTGGCGATGTTTCTCTTGCATATTCTTCAGTCTGGGTAGATTTGTTTAACAGTTTGTGATATGCCATTTTTCTTTCTCAAGAGTATTTATGTCACTAGTTCATAATCAATTTGATTTTTAAAGTTGTGTGTTACATTTAGCTGATCTGATAAGATTGTTGGGCTTCTCAGCCAAAGCTTAGGAGGTCTGGAGCTGCATTGGGTTTTCATTTGTCTGATAGTGTTTATGTAATTAGGGAAAATGTCAAATGTCAAATGCATGAAAAATATGGTGCAGGGTATGTGCATGATTTTCGTTGTTAATGTGGTGTGTCGTTGCACATAATGTAGCGTGTGCGTGTCGTTGCACAAAATAAGAGACATTTTTAGTCAGTAACAATTAGTGATCGTAATGACCGCTAGAGAGATGTTACGATAGCTAAATTATGTGTTGGCAGTGTATATTTGATAAATATGTTATCTTTAGAAACAAAATTGCTTGTAGTTCATCTATAAAAGGCATTCATACATGCGCATAGAGATTTATGACAAGATTTATATATGGTTCATTTAATAACTGAATTTCTAGAAGATTGAGTTTGATGCTACTTTAATATCTATAAGAAATCTATCAAGTTAATGCAATATTTTGTAGAAAAAATAAAATTATTACTCCCTTTCCTTTCCCTCCCTTCCAATACTCAACTCCCAGGCAAACCTAAGCGCTATTATTCTTTTCTTTCTCTCTCAATTCTCAAATTTAAATGGAAGTATAATGAAGTAGTATAAGGCACTTGAAAATTTCATAATTAGACATATCTCTATGACTCTATCTTTTGGAATCCTTTTCATTTCCATTTCTATCAGCTAATGAGGCATCTTAAACACGGCACTTCAGAACTTTTGAAGCATTAATCATGATAGTCATTATACTCCGTATCATACATTCCCCTTCTTATCTTGTTCGAATCTTCTATTAGTTTGCTACCTCTCCATCAACTTTGAAGGAGAATCTGCAATTATTATATCTCAAAGGAAGTTCCTTCAGATATGCCTATTCAGAGGAGCAAATAAACCACTGAATGAACAAAAGGTGAAACAAACTACATATCCCATTGAAGTGTTTTAAGAAAAGCCTTTTCCAGGTCATTTGTTTTGCCCAAATTGGATCTAAACGTCTGGCGACATGTGGTACCTTCATTTCTGAAATTGAGCATGCATTTTTCATTTTCCAATGCCACAATCAGAAAGCCCTATCTCGAGATATTCTTTCTTTGGGTTCAATAACGCTAAACACTCTTTTGGCTGATATGTGATAAAATAGTTGAAGGATGAACATCTCGAGCCATTGCAGATATGGGCAGAGTGATTTAGGCTCTTGTGATAGATAAAACCAACTCCATCTATCTTCCAGAATGTGTGGGTTAGATTGTTGACAAATATTCAAAGAAACTAAAACTCTTGATGGACCTGATTGCTGTTCAATAAACTCCCATCTAGTGGGGGGAATTTGAATTGTTTCAATTGAATTATAGTAATGCACCTTTTATTTGTTGTTAGTTCGATGGCTTGTTTGCTCCTCATACCATGACTTCTCCCTTTCTTAAATCCTTTGTGACCTGACGTATCCTGGCATTTTAAAACATGTTGAACATTACATATACAAGTTTCACACATTTTTTTGGAAATATCGTTCTCAACTTTCCTTCTTACTCAAGTTCAGTGCATTGCAATGAAATCTTCTGCTGTCTATGAAAAGGACAACTTTATACATTTCATGAAAATAACTGGCCTATTGGGGTTGTGATGTAATTTCATTCCTGCTTCCGTTGCAAAAAAATCATGTTTGACCAATGTACAACTTTTTACATTTGTTAGGACATAAGGTACAACTGTCATAGTTAATAATTTGTTCTTATGTTTTTAAAATTCACTTTTCAATGTAACTCAAATTATCATATACTATCGTATATAACATGTAACTTGTCTATTACTATATTTGGGAATTTTGGGTAATTTTTTGCAAATAATATGAAAAGCTTCTTCAGAGTAAACTAGAGTAGTGAACTTTTTGGATCACAAAAAGTGTTTGAAACTGACACCCTTTCTCCATTTTTTGAGGATTTGGGGGTGTGAGGATATGAGTTTTTTTACTGTGAATTATTTTGCAGGGTGGGGATTTGCGATATTGTCAGAAGTGCTCACTCTATAAGCCTCCTCGTGCCCATCATTGCCGAGTCTGTAACAGATGTGTTTTACGGATGGTAAGGGTTTGGTGTATGATTCATAAAATCAATTTCTTGATTTCCTCTGAATTGTTTCATAGTGCTGTCTATTGATGAATTGAAGGATCATCATTGTGTCTGGATGAATAATTGTGTGGGCCATGCAAACTATAAGGCTTTCTTCATTTTTCTTGTCTATGCTGTTATTGCGTCTCTATACTCCCTGGTAAGGAAGTAATCAATTCTTCAATATCCGTACTGCTTTTCCTCTTCTTTTACCATCCAGTACATCCTTATTTCGTTTATGCTGTTCATTTTCTTGTTTCAAGGTTTTACTTGTGGGTAGCCTAGCCATGGGATCTGGACATGATCTTCATCAGAATTCTGAAGGATCTTACAAAACTGTATATGTAAAGTCTTGGTGCAACTTCTAATCTGTGTGATCCCATTCTTGTGGGTACTTTGGACATTAACTATATTTCTATTCCTTCACCAGATTATTGCAGGCATTTTGTTGATTCCGTTAAGCCCAACATTGACATTTTTTCTTGGTTGGCATACCCACCTGATCTTGCAAAACAAGACAACAATTGAGGTTCGTGTCAACAGGAGGTTTCTATTCTGTTATGTTTCTTAAGTGACCTGTTTTTAATTTGCTAATAGGAGGTACTTTTTTCTTAAGTGACCTGTTTCAAATTTGTTAATTCAACAGTATCATGAAGGTGTAAGAGCCATGTGGCTTGCTGAAAAAGGGGGCCATCTCTACTCACACCCTTATGATCTTGGTGCATATGAGAATATTTTATCTGTAAGAAGTTGCATTCTCTTATCCTTATAGCATCATTGTTAATAAATAATCAACTTTGCAGCATCTAGCTAGTACCCTGCTTGGTAGGGGTGGCTGAAAGTGATGAAGTGTCTGGAATTTGCTAAAAGAGTTGCCTCATCCAAGACTTTTTTCAAGTACTGGGAGCAGCCTCTTGTCAAAATGACAAGGGAAGGCTTGCTCTTTACACACCTTCTGTCAAAATGACAAGCCCGTTGCACATTGGCCTTCTCGGAACGCCAATGTGCACCGGACTGTTTTCTTTATATATAGAATAGAACATTTAATTGTCATTTCTTTTCATTTCAACCAAAACGGAACTTCCCTACTACCTTTTCCTAATCATCCTATGTAGCCAGCCAACTTGTCAATTATATCAAGCCAGCAGTCTTTAGTAGCACAGAGTAAGCAGATTAAGGGAGTGTTTGCAAAAAAAAGTTTTTCAGCTTTTGGATTTAAAAAAAGCTGAAATTGATGTTTTCAAGTGACAACTTCTGCTTAAATTAAGCACTTAAAAGCTAAAAGCTGAAAGCAGGTTGAGGGGTGCTTTAAACTGCTTTTCACTTTTTTTATTACTCAAAAAGCATTTATTTTATCAAAGACTACCAATTTTTACTTTTTTCAAAAGCAAATTTTTCTCAAACACTATCAAATTTTACTATTAAACACTTTTCCCAAATCACTTTAAAATATCACTTTTTAAAAGTAGAAGCAATCACGAACACTCCCTAAGTGCCTTAGTTAGCAGAAAGGGATTTTATTAAATTGTTTTCCTTTTCATAAATATAGTAGATTCAGCCATTGTGCAAGGTTACCCTTTCCAAACGGACTGAAAGTTGGTGTTTGATTGTTTGATAAAATACTCGGAGACTGATAAGCAAAAAGTCATTCAACCACGGGTGCTAAGTTTCAAAACCTGATTACTTTCTTTTTATCCATCAAGTATTGTCATTATGCACTTAATCGTTTTTCTCTTGCCTGGCAGATTCTAGGTCCTAATCTGCTCTGTTGGCTAATACCCACAGCAGGACACATCGGATCAGGACTCCGTTTTCGTACCGCATATGATGATAAAATAGTCTTAACAAGAACATCAGTATAAGAGTGCTCTCTGATGCAAAGTGAGTGCGATTTTGGCAAAGTTACTTGGTTTAAGGAAGACAAAGGTGGATATATATATGGAATTGGGGTTTTCTTGGGTATGAAACATCTAACTCCTGTAGTGAGTGTAAGTGGAGCCGGCTTCTGTATAAAATGTATTTGCAGATTGTAAGAGGTATGTTTGTGTCACGGGGTAGTCAGTTTGGCAACAGAAAGATAGCAGAGTATATTTAGGAGTTAGGGAGTCTTGTTCTTGTTGTCAGAAATGTGAATTCTTACCATATAGACAATATGCACAAAGGTTTCAAAAAGTCAAAAGATAAACAATCAGTAAATATGCTTCTTTAATCTTGTAATCTCTCCTGATATGCCATTTTATTACTCCGCACCACTCACTTTCTCCTCTGCTTATCTGTTGAAAAGTGGGTCATGCCGCAAGGACAACAACATTCACAGAACGCGTCCTTATAAAATCGTTCTTTGATGAAGATAACAAATTAACAACTCATACATTTAACTAGGTATGGACCCAACCGGGCCGAACCGGCCCGGAACCGGACCAACCCGCTACTGTGTGGGCCTGGATGGCTGGTTCCGGGCTTTAGCCCGGTTTGGGCGGTTCTGACGGGCCGGTTCCGGGCCATGATTTTCATGAACCGGCTCGGGCGGTTCAGGTTGGGACCGGTTCAATTTTTTTTTTCTAACTTTTTTTCTTTTCCGTGGGTAGGGTTGGGTGTTTTGGGGGGATTTTGGGGGTGGGGGTGAGGGAGGGGGGTTGGGGGTTAATTAGAAATCCCAATTTTTTTTTACCTAGAACCGGGCCCAGCCTAGTTTGGCTTGGACGGCCGGACCCGGTATCTACCTGGGCCGGTTCCGGGCCCAGCATTCCGAAAAAAAAGCTTGCCCGGGCCTAGGCCCGGCCCGGGTCCACCCCTACATTTAACAAGTTGAGCTATTCTCAACACTAAGTACATCGTTTGCCTTGCAACTCGTAGAATTGTAGTGTTGACTATACTGTCTAGGTGGACCGATGGATGGGTCCATGTTTGACTACTAGTCCTGTCTCTATTTGGGATCGGCCCAGAACTTGTTTTGCGGACTAGGAGCGGTCCCGCCAGAGTCCGTCTGCGTTACCAGCTTCCATGTATGATTTTTTGAGATTAGGATTGTTTGGTGTTGGGCTTGGTACACTCCCAGTAATCAATTTTTTTAAAGTTGATTTTACTACCATTATTTTCTTTAACACTTGGATCATTTTCTACAGATCACACAATAGTGTTTTCATTGATGGCGTGTCAACGGAACACCATGATGTCTGTAGTTTTTCACATTTTTTGTTTTTCATTCAAAATTAGCTTGAAGTTTCGATGAATCGGACCGTCATGAGAGGGAGAGTAGTTCACGTGCATTAAAACTTAACACATCATTATTGAAAACAATTCTTCCATTACGTGACCTACCAAACTAGCTCCATTCAAATGGTCAACATACTCGGAGCGCCCATCATTTCCAGTTTCCACCGTGCCTCAAGCGATAAATACTCCTCAAAAGCTTTCAATCAAATTGTAAAAGAAACTACATTATGGAAGCGACTTGGGTCTAATAATATCAATTAAAAATGAAGCATGTGCATGCGCGCCTGAGACTTAACCAACCAATCTTTTCGGAAGTGACGTCGGATTTCAGTCATGGTGATCCAAAAGAGGAAATTACTACAAAGAAGAACAAAGACGAAGGAGGAGAAATTCTACAATTTTCATCAACTCTCTCTCCTCTACATTTCAAATTCAACACAAAGACAAAGAAATCTTGTGGTACAACCTACTTTGAACTTCAATTTGGGCTGGTAAGCCTTTTGTTAGGTCTGGGACCAGTTCGATTTTTAGGCAAGACATGTGGAACCATTTAGAAAATCCAAATTTTAATATCCGTTCGATTTTGGTGAATTATTTGTAGAATCAATATGGAAGCGAACCAAACCTTAATGGTTCAGTTCTATTCATTTCTTGGTTCCTAATTTTTTTAAAATCTCCTTCAATCAAAGCTAAATTCGTGCCACATAAAGACATACAACGTTTAAAAATATAAGAAATATAAATACTGTTAGGAATTATTTTATTTTGTCTAATTGCATTAGTTATCTTTCTATTTGTGTGTTTAATTTAATGATTGGGCCTTGTATTTATTTAGCTCATTTAGTATTTTTTACCTATTTGTTTAACTAATAATAAGAAAGTGGTGTGTCACTTTCCTACATGTCGGCTCACATATCTCATACACTGATCCCGTGTACAAACATGTGGTTAAACAACATCACGGGGAACCTCATCTTTTATAAGCGTATCCATCTAAGACGAGTGATACTGACTACAATGGTCCACAACCCACATCACTAAACTTTCACTGATCACGTTGTGGCTAGTAACTTCGCTCTCAAATGATTTCACATTTTTTAGGACACAAACACATTTAGAGTCAGTTGCTAGTCTTCATGACCATGCGAGAACTTCCAAGGCTCATCTACTATAGATGCAGTCTGAGGATTGGAAGGAAGTCCTGATGTTGCAACATTAATATATCAACAACGTGTTCAGACCATCCTCCGTAGTTCATCTGTAGGGCAATGCTAACCGGAGTCTACATGATCATGAGGCTACATTTCTCTATGTCGGTCACTGTGATCATGCGAATAAAGACCGGAGTGACATCTATTATAGATGATTCATTAGGATTGGTCGAAAGTCCTGTCAAAGCTTTAACGTTATCATCACTATTTGCAGGCCATCCATCAGTATTTCTCATTGATGATTTGTCAACGGAACACTAAGGTGTCTTCGACTTTTTACCGTTTGTTTTTGTATTTTTTATTTGTTTTTGTTATTGTTTTTCAGAATAATAAACATGATGCCGCTATACATTGGATCTTCATGAGGGGATAATAGTCATGTGCATTGATGATAATAATAACACAAATGATCAATTAATATATGTTACATATAAATTTTACAATTGGTAATCGACGCAAAAAATCCCAAAAAAAGAGATCATTAACACTGCTACGATCTCTCAATACTTCGTATAGAGAGAGTGTTTATCACTGAATGAAACATTTACGTAGTGTTTTTTAAATTTTATTTATTGTGCTTGTAGAATGGATTATAACAAGGATGTATGTTTTGTTTAATTATTTTCTGGGTTGTTAGACATATGCATTACTTATATTACTAAAAAAATTAATTTCTAGTGTGACGTTTCCTTGCGGTACCCGTTTCCTAATATTTTGAGTTTAGCGTTTCCCCGTCCCCGTTTCTGTCCCCGTTTCCGTTTCCGTTTCCGTCCCGGTGCTACTTAGGGTAAACCACTCTTTCTTTTATTATCAATTTGGTAATCCGGCCCCTGTAATTCATAACAAAACTGATTGATTTGATAAACTTACAACAGAGATCACCAAGAGCAAGAAAAGGCACTAAATTACAAAAGATAAAACAGTAGTGCTTAAAAGGAATAAAACCATTTTGTCCATGTAAATAGTATGACTACAGCAGTTGCATGTTTGATAGGAGGTGAAATTGGGTGGACCAGTCAAAGTTGTTGGTTATGGTTTAGATGGAAGTATTAATAAAGGTGGTGCTTTATCAGAAGGCAAAAAGGGACGAGCACGGGAGGGGAGAGGGGGCATGTGACCACCCCCAATCAGCTCCGGCCACGGAGTACGCCGCCTCGTGGGCTTCACGCGGCCCTGTCCAGGTGACCATGTGAGCCCCTCCATCCTTAAAGCGCACACTTCCACTACGTCATCCAAATCGCTTTAGATTTTCTTCTCTGTTCTTTTCCGCAATCTTTTACTTGGTCCGCGGCTCCGCGCCTGGCCTGTCTTTTTTCCTCTTCAATTATATTCTCCAATAATCCCTTAAAAATTTGTCAAATTTTCCCAATATATAGAATAATAAATTAAAAATTGTGTAGTAAAAAATTGTATAAAGAAGATAATTAAAATGAGATACGATAGTATCATTTAACTGATCAAAAGAGAAAGAGACAAATATTTTGAAACAACCAAAAAAAGAAAAATTAATAAAATTATATGAGACATAATACTCTCTGTATACGATGAATGTACTACGTCCGTAACATTGATATTTTCCCGTAGGAAAGTAGGTGAGATTAAGAGTAGTGAAAGAGAATATAAATTATTTGGGGTATGATGAGAAGATGAGAAAATAGTATGATGGAATGAAAAATAAATTCAAAAAAGATATTTTCAATGATTTATTATTTTCAAAATTATCGAAGATATGATTAAGATTTATGAATGGAAAGATAGAATAAGTATAAATATATACTCCGTATATTGTCTCGCAAGATCGAGCAACATATAGCATATATGACTCGTATGCTTCTTCTAATTTCGTACGGATTACCATCTTTTTATTCAAAAAAACCACAACCTTAAATAACAAACACATTTGAATGAGTCACGATAAGGTTGTATAATGGAGTACTTCCTCCTTCCCATTTTACTTAGTCAATCTTGACTTTTCAAGTCAATTAACTCCAACTTTGACCGATTATATGTTTATATAGAGAAAGTATTAATAATATGGAAATGATATGAAAATGTTATTTGTTAAAACTACTATCATAAAAGTATAAAATTATTGAATTTTGCATAAATATATTAGTTTAAATAATTGGTTAAAGTTTACCATCTTTGACTAGAAAAGTCAAAGATGGCTAAGTAAATTGGCACGGAGGAAGTATTTTTTAATGGGTGCAAAACAATATTTCCACACATATAATTAATGTGAGTGTATTAGGAAATAAGAAAGTTTTTTTTATTCATTTTCATTTTCATTTTCATTTACCCCAGTGCCGCAAAGGCTCCCACCTACGGTGGGGTAAGGGGGGTCGGATGTACGCAGTCTTACCCCTGTACTAAAACACTAAGAGACTGTTTCCGGATGACTCATAGTGAAAATCGCGTCCAAAATTGCATGGATTGACTGCTGCTCCATAACAAAGAAGCGCAAAGTTTTTTTTTTTATTATTTAAAGAAAATTACATTCACTAGCTAATGAAAAAGAAATTAAAGAAAAAACTAATGAAAAAAATATAGTTAATGTTTTATTGTAATAATGGAGTATACATTTATGCATTTATATACATAGAGGATGTCACGTCCGAGCATGTTTATCATTTATATCCACAAAATTTAAACTTAAAATTCAATTGGAAAGTCAATTAAATAAATTTTTGAAAAACACTATTTTTTTCATATACGAAATACTGTTTTGATAAGAAAACAAATTTAATCCCAATTTAGAATCTTGTCTCTGTTTACCACGATTTTGAAACTAGGGCTGGGTCCAAAAAATCGAAAACCGAAAATCGAATCAAATCATACCGAATCGTAGCCAAATAAAATCGAACCGCTAACAAATCGAAACCGAATGTAAAAAACCGACCCGAACCGTAGTTGTTTGGTTCGGTTTTTGGTTTTTACCCTTCAAAACTGAACCGAACCGAACAAACCGAACTAGTTAAAATATACGGGGTAAAATTTATTTGTCCATTGTTAAGCATTAATCCTAATCAATCCTAATATCATTAATAGTTTTTGGTTTTCTTGTGCTAGAGAAATAATGTTTATTATGTTTAGTTCAGTTTGTGAATTCATTTACACATTCATTGCACGTAATACTGTAGCTATACTGATAATATGTTTTTACTTGTTATTAGTATTAATTAACTTTTATTTTTATTTAACTTAAAAAATTCGTATTGATGAAACAATAAATATTTATCTCAACTATATCATATATAACGTATATACTCATGAATTTTTTTTGAACAAGTCACAAACAATGTAAATTAATAATATATACTTTTATCTCTCTCGCATACTCATATAATTCATGACATATTTATTTATTTTCATTTTATTTTATTTGTTGTAGTGTGCTTGCATTCTTTATGTAATATATGTTTGATCCCTCAAAGTATTATATCAATTTTAAATCAAATGATAATTTTTTGGTAAAAAACCGAAAAAACCGAAACCGAATCGAAACAAACCAAACCAATTAAACCGTGGTTCCAAGTTTTGGAGTGTAGAACCGAACCGAAACCGAACCGAACTTTTTACTTTGATTCTATATTTGGTTTTAGGTCAAAACCGAACCGCAAGAACCGAACCCATCTCTACTTGAAACATTTCTGTAATCTAACATGAATAAATGATGTTGAAATAATTGGAGGATCAATTTATTAAAATAGTACCATTTTTTGAAGTTGAGTTTTCTTTAAGCTATCATTAATTTTAAAGGCGTTTACTAGTTGACTGTCCATTTTTTATTTCACTCAATTTTTCTGAGGTTGAGATGTTCACCTTAATTCCTGGTTGAACTGATGTGAAACACTCTGGAAGATTGGGACTTGGGAGTAGTAGAATTAGACACACCACCAATTGAACTGATATGGGGTGGCATTCACTTATCTAGTGGTTGACATCATGTGCTTCCACAAGAGTACTTTTCCAATTTAATTCCAGCCAACTACTAATTCATTTTTGCCACCCGCAACTTTTACTGTAATTATATTTATTTACGTATCAATAAACACTAAAAGAAGTTAATATATTGGAAATTTACATTAATATAAATTTATTAATATTTTATACATAATAATTTTATTATATACATAGTATATTATTAGAAAATCGTGGTCAAAGTAAGGTGTGTGAATAGTACAGAAATCGCAATGTTGCAAGTATACGCTAATACATATGAGTATGCATAATTTTTTTTGGAGTAAATATAACTAATAAATTAAAAGAAACTGGAGCGGCGACCCCATTAGCCCCATTTGTGTCTGCCACTGCTCTCACGTTTTGTGAAATTTGTGTTTGCACACTATTTTCCAAATAATGGATATTTACACTAAGTTTTATAAACCTTTTTAGAATGTCATGTTTGAAAAATAGTGTGAAATTTATATTGATTCCAAAAGATGCCGGTATAATCTACTGATCGCAAAAATAAGGAAAAATATATTAATCATAATTTAAAATTTTACATTATTTTTATAATTATTTCAGGAAATTTCCAAAATGGTTGTTTTGTAAATATGAATTTTAGAGCTTTTTTCATAACATCAAAATTTGCCAAATCGACTAAATACGTTGAAATTTGTAAAATTATAACTAACCAGCTAAATTGATTGATTTTGCAGGGTAAATGAAAATTCATACAAAATACTTCATATGTAAAATATATTTTAATAAAAAAATAAAGAGAAAAATATACTATAGTAACTCAAATGACACCCTTCCCAAAAATAAACTAAAATAACCCTCTGCTTTAATATTAGAAAATTTATTGTAATTCACTTATATTTATTTACACAATTCCACGCCTAATAATGTCAAAACTTAAGGAGTTCGATAAAATTGATTGATAAGAAGAAAAACATCATATAACAAAACTAATGAATTTAGAAAAAAAAAGGATGACACATTGACATCCCATTCCTGAGAGCCCCCAACCCCGACCAGACGGTACGTTGGGATGATGTAAGTTGGACTATAATCTGAATCCGACAGATAGAGAGTGAGGTTCTGTCCCCGTTACTTGCAGAGGCCCTATGCATTTTTTAGCATAGTAGTCTCTCATCGCAATTGCCGGGATTCGAACCTGAAACTTAACCTTTGTGATACTTACTCCCTACCAGTTGAGCTACGCCCACCCGTATACTAATCAATTAAGGTGTAAAATCTCTGACTACGTAAAACGATATTAATTTTGATTCATCCCGATTAATAAATTAATAAATTAATTATGTGGCAGGTGCTGGGCACGGGGAGCTGCTTTTTGGGTGGAGATTTGTCATTACTGTTTGTTTGTTTCGACTAAGACAAATGCCTACCTAGGACTTCCTCGGTTTTATATCACTTCCATTGATTCACACAATTCCCACAAATCACTTCTCTCTTCCCCAACATTACACAACTCACCGGAAAGTTGTTTGCCGGCCGGACGCAATCCACTTCTCCGGCGCAAAACATCTACTCTCTTCCTAGCTCCGGCATAATGGACCAAGACAATTTTCAGTATTCCTCCACTGACGACCACAGGTTTGGAATTTTCTCTGTGGATTCATTTTGGGTTTATTGTCAATGGAACCTATGGATCTGGTCTTGCATCTATATGCTTGCTTATATGAGCTTGTCCATTGAGGTAGAAATTGACAGAAGCTTCTGAAATTTGTGAATTTATCATCGAAATAACTAAATTGGTTGAATGTATAGAGTATTACCTATGTAACGGAAATTCTCTGCAAAGAGTATGTTTCCGTTTCGGAAACTCTACGGAAACATTTTGGAAATTCTTTAAACAAGTGCTTTTTCGCAAGAATTGACGTTTCTTGTTTCTCATTTTATTATGATTTTTCGTTTTCCATGCAACGTAGAGTATTATATACTATCGTAATTCAGTATTCAAAACTAAAAGTTGAATAAACGGGTTATCAAATGGGTCTATATAGTGCCTAGCTAGTATGATTTGTGTATTTTTTTTTCTTGAATGGTTATTTTTCTCAATGTTTTTTTGTTCAAAAGGTTGAATCCCCAATCCTAAGAACCTCATTCCCATGTTTTATCTCTATGGTGTGTATAAAATAAAGGTCATGATGGGGTTTTAGCTGCTTGATTGCTTGATTAGGTTTATTTTGTTTACTCCACTCTTTTAGAATTATTGAATTATGTAGCTTTTGAAGTACTTTTAAGTAATTCGATCTAGATTGGTTGAATAGAATTATATTTGGAGAGTGTATAATCTCTATTAACGAATTAGAGAAAAACAAAAAAGATGCCGATCTCTTTAGAGTTCCTTGAACAAATGAATAAGTGGATAGAAAGTGAGGGGTGGAGATTGAAGAAAAAAGTGGACCCCAAGATGTGGGACAAGTGAATTTTTGGGCCAAGAAGCTATAATGAGACCGGTTCGATACACAGACAAAATAAGTTACACATGTTTGTCTAGATTTTTTTTTAAAATGTATTTTGACTAAAAGTGTGTGCACAAAAAAGTTGTACAAAAAGTATTTTTGATAATGAGACACTCTACCTTAATGCCAAAGCAAGATAGAGACAGTGCATCCGAGAAAAAAGTATTGTGTATATTAAAAACAAGCGAAAATCAGTGTTTTCCGTCATTTAAATAAGTACTATTTCCGTCCCAATTTACTTATCCATCTTTGACTTTTCCAGTCAAAGGTGGTTAACTTTGACTAATTATTTAAACTAATATATTTATGCAAAATTTAATAATTTTGTACTTTTATGATAGTATTTTTAACAAAGAACATTTTCATATCATTTTCATATTATTAATACTTTCTCTATATAAACATATAATCGATCAAAGTTAGACTCCATTGACTTGAAAAGTCAAAATTGGCTAAGTAAAATGGGACGGAGGGAGTACAAGAGAAGGTTGTGTGGTTAACCAGAATAGTATTTTGTGAAATAAATATTGAATTAATAAAGTAAAAATAAAGTATGAACAATTTAGAATATGCAAACATTATAAAATTTTGAATGAGACAATTTTAGTTGAATGGACCAAAAGTTAAATGAATTAATTAATCTTAAATGAGACAATTTAGAATATGCAAACATTATCAAGAATATTTTTCTAACAATCCTATTTGCATTATTTGTTAATGAGCACGTGAAGTTAAAAAGTTGGTATTCTGCGAGGATATGGTTGGTAGTAGAAAACACTTCGTTGCCACGGGCACTTATTTCATCGTAATGAATTAAAGAAAAGATCTGTTTTTCGTTTTAAAAACTAAGCAATTCAACTAAATAACTTAATAATGCAGAGATGGTTGTCTCAGTTTCCGTTTGGCTCTTCCCCTTTTCGGGTCTCTTTGCATCAAATAGATTGATATGGTCTATGCACTATGTTCATCAGTTCATCATATATTGTTATTTTCTTAATGAATCTGTTTAATTACTTCAACCCTATTTATATGCATTAAAATCGTTTTAATCATGGACTAATGCTCATTCGATTATTCGGTTATGTTATGTTTGGCAGTAAACAACACTTGACAGCAGCTCTTCTGGCTAAGTTGAAGAGGAAGAAAAGAAAACTTGAAAGTGAACAGCTCGGAGCTCCTCATCCAAAGCAGATACGCGCTTACCAAAACTTCCTCAGAAAATACGGTTCTTTACTTGCTGCTGATGATGATGATGATGATATCCCCCAAGAGAATGAACATGAAACTACGACCGCCACCACGGATTCTGGAGAATGCAGCAATGGCATTACGGATGATACCGATTATGCCACCTCTTATGAAACCAACCCATGCCCGTCTAACTCGTATGCGGGCATGGGCTACGATTGGCAAAACTCTTCCGAAAGCGGATATGTGTCTACACAACCATATTCGTATACCGATTACCTTAACTATAATAATGGAGTAGATTGTAGTAGCTCGGGGTATGTGGATGAGAGAACCGAAACGTCTTCGGGACAACATGAACACGATGATGCGAGTCCCAGCAACTTTGTTCTCTCATCTGGAAGATGGGAAGTAGGCCAACGAGGTATTTCTCCTTCTCTGTTGTCTTTGTGTCTTTTCTCTCAAAAATATGAACATTAAGTTAGTGAGTAAACATATTTTTTGTGGATTGCAGAAAGTGAAGAGAAGCTAACAATTGACAAAGAGTTTGAGCACTACTTTGGCATGCTTATGCTACAATGATGTTTTTGAGACAGCTTGTGCAATGTACATTGTTCAGTCTGCTGTATACATGCATTGTTTTGTGTTGTAATAAAAACCATCAAAACTCAGAAGCTCAAGCTTGTAAAGGGAGGGAGCACATCTTTGTTTTTGCTTGGGAGGGATGCCTCAACATGATGGTGGCTTAATAGAGTAGATTTTCCATTCCATATTTTTTAATACTAGGTTTCAAGCCCGTGCGATGCACGGGCGGTATGTAATTTCTCTGATATTAAATTTGATTTGTTTTCGGAATCATATATAAGGTGACGCAAAAGCAAAATAATCCCAGTCTAAATATAGAGTTCGTTTGATAATACTAATTTTGGTGGAATCGGTTTATTTTGCTGAAATTAATTACATTCTAGCTGAATAGGTTGAATAGGTGAATCTTGTGAATCATGAAAAGAATATTTAAAATATATTCCATTTGTTAAATAAATAAAAATTATATGAAAAAGAGTTTAAATGATCTTCTACATAAGCTTCTCAACTAAGCATAATTGTCATGAACCCGATTTTAAAGAATTCATCATAGACAAACTTCTTAATTATTCTCACGTCCTCTATATTACTTTATTATGTGCCTCAAAATATACTTCGTATTTTTTAATATTCCTCATTCAACTTGGTATGCAATATGGAGTACATACTTTTAATAGTAAGATCTTACATTATACTTATTATTTCATCACATTGAAAACGTCATTAATAAGGACGTTTTTAATTGAATTAAAATTTTCGGGTTTGATTTGGTCTAAAGTAATATGATCTGGTAGACGTCTGTTTTACATTTTATGTGTCCAATTATTATTAAGTTTGATTTGATCTGATTTAGTCTGAGACTGAAATCAATCTAATTAAAAACATCTTAAGAGTATAAGCAAAATCCGGAATTTGTAAACATATAAAGATTTCTTAATTTAGATTAGGAATCAATCTATTTCAAAAGTGACGGAATCTAGTTGTAAAAATAAAGAAACAACCAAACACATTTACTTTTTTGGCTAGGCTAAACGTATTTACTTGTGAATGTGTGTGTGTGATATCAATTTTCATCCTTATTAAATAAAGGTAAGCTACTTGATGAGAAGTATTTTGTTTAAATGATTCTATATTTGAATGTGTCATAGTATTAATTTCGTTTTTATTTTCAATAATCTGGTGGTTATAATTTTCATTATTATGTCAAAAATTAAAAGAATTGTATAAACATGGAGAATAATACCAAATCTTGCATAATTGCAAATATGGGGCTTAGAATTGTAATCATGATCTCAACATTGAATTTAGAAAAATATAATATTACATTTTAGGAAATGGGATACTTTTATTAAATTTTTTATTTTTATAAAATACTACGTAATTTTGAAGACAAAATTAATAGCAATTCGGCTGATTTATCTATTAATTTAAGGAACTGATTTATCTGCTAAGTGGGCAAAACACGGATACTTCATTTCTTCAATAGAATGTAATAAAAATTCAAAACTATAAAAATAATTAAATAATTGTTACTCCATGCTTATAAAAAGTACTCCGTATAAAATGTAGTCTATGTGTACGGTTAGATATTAATTGTTGTGATTCCAATTACTGAATTTAATAATTATGAAATACGAATACGTAATAGGTTTTGAAAAAGTTACCAAAAAAGTGGATTTTTATCATGCAATCATTTGTTTCCATATCAAAATGAAATCAAAAATAGAATCCAATAAAAATAAAAGATACGGAGTATAAAAATAACTAAATAATTGTTATATATGATGAATGACATGACATGATTATGTGGCGCTTTGTATGCTCTTAAAAAGTTCTTCTTTTATATATATATTGATTAGTCAAATTAATTGCTTATTTGAGCAAAATTGATTCTGATACCATATGAACACACCCATTGTTCTATACTTCTGTTAGATGATAAACTTCTATAAAATTTGAACCTAAATATCTTATGTAAGGGCACATTTTTTGTATCTTCTTTTCCTTGTTTGAACCCAATATCATTAAGTAGTTATTAATTTTAAATGAAAGCCAAATGAATTTAGAAAATCATAAATTAGAAGCGTGAGAACTAAAAAAGGCTGCCCAACTGCCCACCCATTCCATATCATGCTCCATCCCATTTTACAAGAATCTTGGGCCCGCAACTTAAACTTAGTTTCTGTTATTATACGAAGTATCCTTTAGAGAATAGATAAGATGCAAAGTACACTGGGTCATGGCCTGGTATGGCCTTCCTTCCAGTTAGTTGCAAATAAAAATAACCACAATTCTACAAGTGACACGCTTTTGTGACTTTTGAAAGATTTTCTCCCCATCTTCCCAAAGAGAAGCACGTGTTGATTCCCAAGACAGATTTTTCTTTAAAATCAAGAAAAGAAATATTATTAGGGATGGGTTGGTGAAAACCGAAAACCGAATCAAGAGAACCCGAACCGCAACAAAAACAATCGAACCGCAAGAAAACCGAAAGCGAACTCAAAAACTGAACCGAACTGTTGTTGTCAGGGGCGGAACTAGCAAGGGGCTTGGAGGGGCTTGAGCCCCTGCAGTTGTTTTTATATTTATTATATATATATATATTAAATATAAAATTGTAAATTGTAAATATTTATAAAGTATGTGTGTTATACATTAAATAACCACTATGTTAACAAGAAGATATTGCAGTAGAGTGGATGAGGTGTGTGTGTTTCTTGGGATTATGAAAAGATCTAGGGTTCGAATCTTGTCGTAGTTATTTGTATATAGTGCTCCATCCTCCGGAGACCTTCGTTTTACCTAAGTGCTCCTCCAAGGTCCCCAAGCTGGTTCCGCCACTGGTTGTTGTTTGGTTTCGGTTTTGATTTTTACATCTCAAAACCGAACCAAACCGAACAAAAGAACTTTTTAAAACTTGCTATTTTATTTATTAATCATTAGGTATAATATTTTGTTTAGTTCTTAATTCGTAGTTCTAGAAAATTAATGTTTGATACTAGATTTATTATGATTTTGCAAGATATTGACATTTAATATTTATGGTGTAATTAAGCGAAACATTAGTACATACACTTAAGTCTATTGCTATAACGCTAAAGGGTCAAATAGGCCCTTGAACTGACTTAAAGTGTTCAATTCGAGGTTCTGTCCAACCGTCGCTAATTGAGGCGGTTCCCGGTGGAATTTTTTGATGAAGTTTTTTGAGCATTTTCTTCATTAAGTCTAGTCTACCCATACCAAATCTGAGATAAAAATTCAACCTGGAAGATAGTCAAAGTTTTTCTGAAATGTACTTCACTGTTTAACTTCAAAAATTCATTTGATTGTCTTCCCCATTGATTTTTAGCTGACATTTGGTAAGAGTAAACTAGACTTAATGAAGAAGATGTTCAAAAAATTTCATCAAAAAATTCCACCGGGAACCGCCCCAATTGGCGACGGACGGGCAGAACTTCCTATATAAGGGGCTAATTGAACACTTTAAGTCAGTTAAAGGGCCTATTTGACCCTTTAACCATTGCTATAATACTAGTATGTTGATATAGTACAACTATGTATGAATGATACATTATTGATACATTATTTGTTATGATATTTTTTGATACATTATTTGTTATGTATAGTACTACTATGTTTGTTATCACAAAAATCTTCATATTTAACAAATATGTATTAATACAAACTATACTTCAAACAACACATCTGAAAATGTAAAACTCTAGAGCATAAATAACTTAATCAAAGAAAAAAAGTAGAATAAGTTATTTACTATTAACAAAAGTATTTTAGTAAAAAAGAAAATGAATTCGTGGACACAACATTTACAAATTAATTTAACTTGTGAATACACTATATATAATTGAAAAATAAATTCACGCGTTTAATTAATTTAGAAACTGTTTAAATTGGTATACATGTACTCTCTAATTCATTGCTTAAAAGTGCATTTGTTTCTTCTCTTTTTCTTTAATTATGTTTTTGTATTGTATTCCTAATAGTTATAGATAGTTTGATATAGTTTATTCTTTTATTTTTGATTTCCAATTACTATTTTGTAATCAATAAAAACATTTTGGTGAAAACCGAAAAAACAGAAACTGAACTGAAATAAACTGAAACAAATAAATCGTGGTTCCAAATTTTTGAACATAAAACTGAATCAAATCGAACTGAACCTTTTACTTTGGTTCCGCATTTGGTTTTAGATGAAAACCAAACCATTTGAACCGAACTATCAGTTCAACAAATATTTTTCGATGCTCCTTATTTAAGTGTAAAAACCGTTATGCCATCTGCATGGCAGACAGGTCTGAATATGGTATCATTTGTGATTAAAAAAAGGTGACAACTCCGGTACCTTTCTAAAAAATGGGGTACCGTACCTACAATTCATTTGATTGGACCACAACACTTTATCATTTTTAATTTAGATTTAAATAATTAAACTGCTACATTCTCATTGGTCCATGTGGACAAAGGTATGGTACCTTATGGGTACCATAGAATCTACCTTAAAAAAATCTTGGAAATAGACTTTTTTCCGATCATCTATTCTTTTTCGTCAATCTTAAACTATTAACATAAATAATAACAGTGGAAAAGCTATGAACTAAACTCTAAAACATAACAACATGTATTAAAAAGGTTAAAATACGTGAATAAGATGATTTTTTTAATTCTTTAATTTATTAATGTGGCTTTTATGTACTCCCTCCGTCCCGAATTGTAACGACTTTAAGTTTTAAGATGTTTGACCGACGATAAAGCAAACGGATCCCTGTCCACATTCAAATTATTTTTAGAAAAAAAGAATTACATATTCAGAAATTGTATTAAAAGCTTTACAAAGTCGCAAAAACCAGAATAAAATTTGATAAAAATTTGATATATAAAGTAAGAGATTAAGAGTGATTTGTGTTGACCAAATGAATAAGAAAAATATCTTACAAATTGAGACTGAGGGAGTATATTTTTTATAAATAGGGGCTTGGTAACCCTAACCGTTGTTGTATCAATGACCAAATACCATTAGTTACTCTGGCTATCAAGTACGACATGTGCTAAGTCTACATTTTTTGTATACATCTTTCATACACTCGAATGTCTCACTCACACCATTGTTTATAACCGAGTGACCACACTAGCACGGTGTTCAGTGACCTATTATTTCCAGCGCCCAGTGACCCCATTGTCTCAGGTTCCATAGTCACCCATTGCTTTGTTCTCCAACTGAGCCGACTTCCCCCACGATCCAGCATTATGCCTTTGCCTAGCATTCTTGTCTTCTTCACCGCCTTTGCCACACCACTAGAATAAAAGTTATCTTTTACGGTCATTTTT